GTAGAGGAGAAGGTGGTATTATGGAACACTGCGGGTATTATGGAACCACCCCATTTCGAACTGATAATAAAGGCGAACTGTAGCGGAATGTGGCCGAACTGAACTAGGCAGACATCCATAGCAAGGGGTAAACCCATTTTACTTCAGTTAAACGGTTGTCGGTATTTAATCAGCAAATCTGTTTATTTTAAAATTCGCAAGTTTTGAATGTAAGTGAATTTAATTATTTTTAAAATATAAATTGTATAGTTGTAGGTTCACTAGTGCATGTATTCCGTTCCAGAGACTTAGGGGTACATATTAATCTGTGTGATGTTCACGTTTTTTAAATTTTGGTCTTGACAGACATAAGTTAATTCGAGATGGCGATGCGTGAAATACGGACCCCATTGGTGCTTTTACAGTAATATGGAACTCAACTCCTCCGAACTTTCTATTTGCAAGCAGACATTCCTCCAGAGCAATTTGTGAAAAAGACACTAGGTAGAAAGCCAATTCTTCCCGAGAATATCGAAAAAGAGCTGCTGGAATATATATTGTTGATGGAGGTCATATTTTTCTATTATAAAAGCATTTTTGCGATAAAATACATTGGAGTAAATAATTTTGTAATTATTTAACATTTTTTGTCCTTTCCTATTTGTTTTTGGCTACATTAAAGCATTTTTTTGAAAATATACAGTAAGGTTCCATATTACCACCCGATTTTCTCTAAGCCTACTTTCGGACTTTTTGTACAAAAGCCTTCAAAAACCATACTTATAATTACACTAGTGAAAAATCCAATTAGGAACATTTAGTTTACTAGTTATCAGTACTTTTCGCACAAAAAATGTGGGTGTAGTTATGATACCTTGTTTACAATTCACTAAAATGTAATTGGGGTTCCATAATACCACCTTCTCCTCTATGTATAAACTTAAGAAAATCATTCCTTAGATATTTTGATAAACTCATTTCTCGTGTGCATTATGGTAGACTAAACATTTAGAAATGTTGTCGGTGTAGATGCAGTATCTGTTTTTGAAAAGAAACGATGGTGCGGGACAAATGTTCGCACTGTGGGGCCAAAATGCGCATGCGAACTCGTTTACAGATGAGCATTTTTGCACCTTGTGCAGAACAGATATGCATGTTGATAAACAAAGCACGAATATATGCAGTGTTGGATAGAAAAATCAATAAAGGAGCCCCATTATCTGGAAGAATAGATGCAGATGTGAGAATTGGAGAATGTGTAAAAATTGTTTAATTGAAAAAATTAAAAAATTATGTTTAATGAAAAATTATTTTTTTATTAAATTTTGTTCATTAATACACACTTTGTATAGCTTTCATAAAAACCTTATCGTGCAAACTTTTACCTTACAATGTGCCACTTTTGCTCCACCGATTGGGCAAAAGTGCTCTTTTATAATCTTTTGAAAAAGTTTAATAAATGACATAGGCCTATATTTAAAATATCAATAAAAACTTACAGAATCTTAAAGAAAACAGTTTGAGAATTATTATGTATATATTTCAAGATTGTCACTCTTCTAACAAAGAATTTATATTGTATAAAAAACTAAGTGCGTACTCTTATCCCACTTTCTATAGTATTCTAGTGTAATGTACAGTACAGTACCGTTATAGTAGAATACTTTATAGTACTATATATTATTAAAGGATATAGTACTACATTGTGAATACAGTATTCTGTATCATTATATTTTCGTCATGCCGTTTGACAAGATTACTGTTTGAAATGATCAGTTTTTCGAAATTTTTGGAATGGCCGTCTTAAAGAGGTTTATACTAT